TTTTTTTTTTGGGCTTATTTATGCTTTTTTCTTTTTGATTCACAGTTGCTTGATATGCACAATAGTATTCATGTAATTGTACCTTGAATCTTTTTTGGTATGTTTTGTAATTTGATTGAGAATGATATTTGTGCAGATGGGTAGTCAAGCTGGATACGAATATCGTTGGCAGTTGTCGATGGTGAGCTTGGACGAGATTAATTCCTAGCACAAATCGGCCGTAACGAAAGATGGCTCCAAAGATTTTCTCTTCGAGTTTAGGACAAACTTCATCATGAGGCCTAACCCCAATCCTAATCCAGACCAAAATGTAATCTTGGACTCAGAGAGCTTCGATGTAATGGTGCATGAGATCGGAGATGCAGAGAGAGAGGCGATTGGTCTTTATTTCTTGACATTTAAGAGGCTGAAGGATTACTGGATGACTCGGGACGAAATCAAGCATATGCTCGGCCAGGCCCTTGATTTCACCCGAGAGGCAGCGGCTGACCCTCAACACGCGGCCCTGGATAAAATACCGATCGTGGTGGGCATTGAGGTCTGCACTGTCCAACAAGACGGCGAGTCCGTTGAGGCTGCTATGGGCCGGGCAATCAGGGCCCAGTACTTGGTGCCCTTGTACCTGTGGACCAAGGAGACGCCAAAGCAGTACAAGCTGAGGGAGTATGGGGTGCGCTGGTTATACTTTTTGAGGAAACTGGGCAAGATAAGAGTTGAAAATGTTGACGAGGGGTTGGCTCTTATGCCTGCTTGTCATATTTGCTCTAGGGCTACGACCACAGGTGCTCAAATAACTGTGCTCCCTAGTTGTGGCCATGCTTTTCATACCCGTTGTGTTTGGGTGTGGTTGGAGAATAACGAAAAGTGCCCGTTGTGCGGTGACTCTGTCGTATGATGTTAGTAGGTTTTAAGCTTTGATTATCATTTTTTGTTTTTCTTTGGTTTTATGGACTCTTTGTGTCTTTTGAGAAGCTGTGCCAGAGTTTATTTATGGTTTGTGGGATCATATTTGCCTTTGATAATGCAAAAAGATTTTAAATTTGTTCAGTTTTGTGAGGTTTCCCTTGCCGTTTGTTCATGTTCAGTTTTGCTTTCAAAAGGTAATCGAACCTTTGTATCATTGTCGTCAATTCATAATCACAGATTCAGCCTAACTGTTAGGTTGGTCGGTCCGTATTGCATACATATTCGACAAAAGTTCCACAATATTCAAAATAAAGTAAAACAGGCCCCTCCCATATCAATAGCACAACCCCAAGAACACAAAAAAATTTTAAATTTTGTTTCTGTACAAATTATCAGAAACAACTCATGAATGGAAAATTAAGTATTAATGATTTGATTTAAATCTATTAAGTTCCCAATCATTATTTGCACATAAACTATTGAGTAATGTTCACCACTCCACTCTTTAGAAATTAATGTTTATTTCAATCAACCTTTCAAGCGCAATCCCTGCCACAATTCATCACAACCATAAATTGGAGCCAAAATACACAATTCTAACTGTCTGTTCATTGAAAATATGATCAAGTCCGAGGAATTTGGCTTACTCTTTCACAGTCGAAAATGATTTCTCAAACGATCGACCAAATTTCATAAAATGTCATCTACTGTGTTAAGCATAAGCTTCAAAAGTTTAGCACCAATTCTTGGAAAAGATCGCACGAGGTAGCCCAGAGATCCTTAGCAAGACTGGAGTTGTAAGAAAGCCTAGAAGATTGCAGACATCTACTGTTTCCTCCGAAAAAGTAAACACCTGATACTTCCTGTAAGAAAAATAATGTTTTGAAATAAGCAAGCAAGATTCTAGTAAATAAATGCGTAATAATCCATGCAAGGCTTGGCTAGGAAAGTTGATCAAATTGGTTTGTAACTTGCAGATTCGTAGTTTCATTTTACTCACTAACGTGACCATGTAACTAAAGGCATATTACTACAGAATATATAACACCTTCGCACTATGTTCCAACTATTCGAAAGGTGGGAAAATAAAACATAATTCTCACTTCATATCTGTTTTCCTGTTTTACAAATTGCACTCTTAATGGAGGAATAGTTATTGCATTAAGGTCAATTTGTAAGGGTAATTCCATAAACAGATAAGAAATATTGGAATCAAATTATGGTCTAAGTGAAAGAAAAAAAAAAAAAAAAAATACCGAAGAATATTAAACACATACAGGAGAGGCGAGTGACGCATCAACTAAAGAGTGCACGCCAATTTCAGAAGACTGAAGAAGACCCAAAAGTTTCAACCCCAATAAAGCCATCCGTGAAAGGCATGGAGGAATTTCACGCATAATGTTAGTTTCCACAGCTCCAGGATCGACGGCACTGAAAATTCAGAATGGCCAAAACAAATAAAAAAAAATGAAAATAAGATGAAATTTTAAAAGCCCCCAAGAGGACAGAGTAAGGAAAATACAAGAATAAGTAACGAATAAACCGGACGAAAAAGCAATCAAAATAAACACTTACACAACAGATATATGTTGGGATTTCTCCATTAGTCCAAGTTGCCTGTGAAGCTCATACGAAAAGAGTAGCATGCATACTGTTGATAGACGAGGTCACATGTTATCAACGCAACAGACATAAAAGTTTACTTTGTAATGTCGCAAGTTATCATGCAACACAAAAAAAAAAAAAAAGTTGACTTTGTGATTTTCAGAGACCATATGCTTACATTTAGAATACTCGTAAATTTGTGCGTAGGGATAGGATTTTGATTTCACGAAACTCTTCCCAGATATAGTTTCTCTGTTAGCTTGCATGCAACAAACTGAAGCAGGAGTGCGAAGAACAAATAATTACATCATTTTGCAGAAATTATGGTAAAATTATTTACATTATAAAAAGGGAAGCTAGATGTTACCATTTCGGTGTGTGAAAGATGTGAGGTTGACGACACGAGACGGAACAGGACTATTCTGAAGAAGGGGAAGTAAGATTTTAGTAAGACAAAAAGCACCGATATAATTAGTAGCCAGCATCCTGCAAAATCGAAAAGGAAAAACTAGTTAGCCTTTGGGTTCAACTCTCTTGCATAGCACGTAGAATATATATCTTCATTGTATGCATATTAATTTGTTTAACATCGATCTTTCTGTATACCGACATATATCCTCGAGCAAAATCTATTGAATAAAGCATCAAATATATCAGGTCAGCAAAAGAAGAAATAACTTGCATCTACAATGATTAATTGGTTTGCATTGCAAACTTTCAAACACAATTAAAGTCGACCAAAACGGAAAACAATAATAGCAAAAGAAAGAAAAATTGATAAACAATCCAAGCGTAAAATTATTTGAAGGAACCAAATATACTTATCCAACTTGGATGACTACCCACATAGTTCTACAGCCCAAACTACTATAAGCTATTCGAATAGTAAACAATACCGTAAAGAGTACTTGAAAATTAATGATTCTAACTATAGAGAAATATCATAGGAAGAGTAACTCATCATATCCTTCAGAGGTGAGCCTACGTGATGTTGCTAGAATCCCAGCATTATTTATCAGGAGCTGAACAGAAGAATGCATTTTCGAATCCAATAGCCATTGCTCAAGTGAGTGTTTGAACTGGATGATGGATTTGAAGGACGAGAGATCGACCTCAAAAGCTTTCAGGCAAGAATCTTGGTTTCCACTCTTTACAGCAGATATAACCTGAATCAAACATGGGCAAAAGTAAATATACTCATATAGTAGTCAGTTCATGATTAATATAAAAAGGACAGCTTACACACCCTCGATAAACGTTCTGACGATCTTCCAACTGCAGGTATGAGAATAAATTTTATTCAAGTCTGAGCAAACCATCAAAAGAAATTTTCAAACTGGAAGTACAAAGCATTATGTAATTTGAACATTCGTCGAGTTATTTAAGCAAGTGCAGAACTAAGATCCATTTCATAAATTAAATAAACACAAAACAATCCCATTGATTGAGAGTTATAAGCAATACCAAGAACAACATAAAACCCCTCCTCGGAAAGAGCATATGCAGCAGCTGCACCCAAGCCAGATGTCGCCTGCCAATCACGACCACACACAAATCAAAACCGGTAAATATTAACAATCAGAAACATGTAACTCATACCAATATTCGTAATCTTCACCAATAATAAGGCCAAAAACAATATATGTATAAATGTGTGTGTGTGTATTACCCCCGTAATTATGCAGACTGGCTTCCCTACAGGCAAATTAAAGATTGCTGAACCTTTCGGCGAGCATCGAGGATAAAGCTTCAATTTCGAAGTCATGAACCGTTGGGTGAACAAATCCAAATAAGAAAATATGAGAGAAAGAGTCCAAAGCAACGCCATTCTCCAGAACTGGACACTACACATAAAATAGAAAGACTCCACCATGATTTTCACCAAGTTCATTCTTTTACTCCACAATGAAGGCTCCAAAGGAAAATCTAATTTATCCTGCAAAAAAAATAATAATAATAATAACATTCAATCCAAAACCTCTTCATTCACCCAAACTACAAAAAAAATCAGTTTAGGGAAAAAAAATAAAAAAATAGGAACACATATTTCACGGTTTCAGCAAAGCAGTCAGTAACCCAATATGTAAAATGAACCCAAAACAAACAAAAAATCGATTATCAGTCAGTGCACATCAAGATTGTTGTTGGCCAACGTTAGAAAGAGCCTCTCAAGTTCTGCCACTATGACAAACGAAGTTCCACAAATAATTAAGAATAGTCATTTGGGCAACTTGGATTAGGCCATTAGGAAGTGTGAATCACTAACCTCTTTGGAGCTTTGAGTCTGAGGCCAAATTCCTCTTACCGGCGGCGGGTTAACAACTGCCGATATGAGTTGGGCCGTCTACTGATCAGTGATCACCGGTGTAACACCCCAAAGATTTTTAAAGACAATTCCAGACTTATCCAAAAATCTTGTTTTAAAATTTCGAAAACCATTTATCGATTTATAAGACATTTGGCGCTACTCGAGAACTTTTCAAAGTTAACCACATAATCAGCATAAAGGAAACGAGAATATTCAACATAATTCAAGTTCCAAGACTAGATTTCAACATATCTAGCAGTAGGATTGTCAACATAATCCAAACTGATAACAATAAATCCACATGGTTCAACAGTTCAACCAATTCCAAAGGCAATAGGATAAATAACAAAGTCTGATACTCTCAACCTAAATATCAAAGCATGAAGAAGCAATATAAAGCATCAATAGTGTTTGACCATTCACTCGTCTTCAGCCTCGTCATGCCTAACACGTGCTTAACCTGCATCAGTGAAGAGCAGGTGGGGATGAGCACAAATATAAACGAGGTGCTCACCACTATGCATAATATATTGGTAAGAATCCTATACTAGAGTCATATGCAAGTACATAGTCAAAAGACATAACACACCACTCTCCTACTCATCACTATACTCATGTGCACACCTATCAAAAGCCGCCAGGGGTAAGCCCAAACTCGTCAGCGGGAGTACAGTCGTGCCGAGGTTCAACATCAACGGTCACGGCCCATCGACTAGGCTAAAATGAGTCTACCTATCACAAGGTTGGAGATCGCCCACCACTAGGCACCGTCTCATGACTCATACATACATTCACAGAACATAAAGTATAAAAATCTTACCTCAATTATAGCATAGCAAATTTTAGATTAAAACTCACCTGGATACCGGAATATAGCCAACACAAGCAGTTGAAGGAATAACGGCAAAAGTTCAGCTCGATGAACCTACACCAATTACGATAGTCCTATCAACAGACTATTCAGCACAAAACAACACACAAGCAACACACAAAGCAACACATACTTAGCCGAAACCATATCGACTAAGTGACTCATGGATTCCTTGACCGAGTTAAGTACTTTGGAGTGATTACTAGACCTGAACACAACTCAAATACCTCAGATAATACACATAAATCATGCCAACATCAATAAAATCTAACCCGAACCTGAACAACGGACAACTGAGCATTAAGACACTAAAATAAACAAAATTCAGAATTTGGAGTTAGACTCAACCAATCAACCTGAAACTTTACCACATCACAGGGCGTACAAAAACACATAACCTCACCAAGGTTCAGCTCAAAATTCATTCGGGAGCATTTTTAAATAATTAAAGCAAAAATAGTGTCAAAATCCAACGTTATCATTGCATATAGCTACACTTCGAATTTTAATCTAAATTTTTGACATAACACATAATAACTCAAAATAACATACTCCTCAAGGTTTCAGCTCAAAACCCCAAGGGTACGATTTTTAATGAATTTTACAAGATTCTGACCAGAAACTGATTTATATAATTAAAATAGTTACAGATGGAATTTCGACTTGAAAATTTTACACGACTTACAAAATCATCACACCAGATCACATATAAAATTTTATAGCATTCGCACAATCACGCGATTTATCATGAATTAATTACTATTCAACAGCATGTTCGGTTTAGTAAATTCATAACTAATGATATAAACATCGAAACGACCTCAAACCAAAACCAGTAGATCAAGTACAACTCCAAGTACCTACAACTCCAAGATTTTCCACGAAAACACAAGTTCACTTCAGTTTCGGAAATAAACCGAAGCAACAACAAAACAATGATTTATATCTCATGCTAATTAATCAATACATCACACACACACACACACACACACACATATATATATATATATATAAATTCATCAAATTCAGCAGCTTTAATCAATCCCGAAGAAAACTTTTATACGGAACTGAGAAATTAATCTCAAATAACTTGATATAAACCTCATTAAATTTCAAGAATCCAATTGAAGAATACAATGGCTGGCCATTTAGTACATAATTCAATCAATTTAAAACAACTAGAGACCATGATGTTAAATAAACCGTTGAATTTTTTTCATTATCATGGGAAAAGTCAATTAAGACAACCAAGAATCTAAAATCCTACGAACAGGCAATTATTTCATTCTCAGGTAATCAAGAGCAATTCAAAGTGAATTCCAATAAATGAATCAAACTCTTGAACATAATTCGGAGAAGCAGTACAATAATATGCACCCAATTTGGAAGACCGCAATTCCGATAAGAGTCCAACAATTATTTTATAGAGTAGTGCGGCAATTAATAACAATCGAAGGCACTAAGTTGCAATCTTAATTCACATACCACGACGTGAACGGGGTCGGAAGTTCACGAACAACAGGACAGCGATGGAGTTGCTGGGACTTTTCGTCGGCGATGATCACGCGGGAACGAGCGGTACTCACAGCAAAACGCGGGACCACGCCGGCGTAGCAAGTTCACTTGCGATGCCAGAGAATTTGGGACTTCGGGCGGCTCGCAGTGGCGACGGGAAAACAGTGGTGGTGATTGCCAGATTGAGCGAGAGGGAGATGGGAGGAGGGTGATCAGATTTTAAGAGAAGAGGGAGAATGGGTCTTATGTAGAGGAAAGCGAGAGACTTGCGAACCGATTTGAAGACGAAGAACAAGTCGTCGATGATGAATTCCTTTCTGCTAAAAAAATCTCACGCGAATAAGTGAATGGAAAAAGGGCTGCAGACTTAATTTCCAATTGGGCCTAATTCAATTGGGCTGAAAGAATAATTATAAATGGGGCTGAATATATAACTCAAAACTCGGTAAGAAAACACGACAACATAAATTAAAATAAAATCGGACATTACGTATATATATATAATACAAACAATAATATTATTTAATAATAACAAGCATTTAAAACAATTAGACATTTAATAACAACAACAACAACAACAATAATAATAATAATAATAATAATAATAATAATAATAGTAATAAAGAGGACAAATAATAATCAGGAAAAATAAATAATAACTCCAAAAATCCACAATCGAATGGGGTATTACAACCGAGGTGTGGAGTGTAGTTTTCTTGCTTCTCCGTTCACTGTTCTTCCTTTTTTTTTTTTAACCTTGAAAAATGGTTGGGATTGGGCCCAATTAAGCTCAGGGCCAAGGCCTATTACTTGTTTAGACCGAATTTTCGGTCAGTTCGGTTCCGATTCAAACCGAAAATCCTGCAGTTATCCAATAAAATAGAGAAATGACAAATATAAAATCTATAATTTGAGCAAAAAATGCATTAATGGATTTTTTATGTTTTGTACAGTTCAGATGACTCTTACACCAAGATTATGAAACTGAGAAACATTTCACTAAATGCACAACTCTATGCATTAAATCAGAAATCATGGGGATCCAAGAGCAAGCCCATTGGAAAATTAATTCAACCAAAGCTAAATCAGAAATTTGTCATTTTTATTACAGTAACAGAAACATGGTGTCAACAATTTGGAAACCCACAACCCTGCAGCTCTGAACCTCAGATCAAAGACATAAAATTTAACCAAAAAAATCACGAGCTTGAATTGAAATTCACCAAAATGTTCAATCGAAGCAGAATAGCCACGAGCTAAAAGAAGAAAGCGAGCTTCAAAGTCTTATAGAGAAGAAAAACACGAACCATAGGTGCAGCCAGTACGAGGGGATCTGGGTGGTGAACTCAATTGAGAAGGCGACCATCGCCGTCGAGTGTCACGAGAAGTGTGTGCGGGAGCAATCAGAGAGTTCAAAACGGCGGAACTTCAAAACATCGAGCGGCGATCGGAGACACGGAGTCTGAGTGTGTGATTCACATCACTGATTGTGACGAGGCTGACGAGCGGCGGACAAGGGAAATTTTCTGGGAAATGAGGAGTTGGGAATTTTCTGATCAACTGACTAACTGAATTGATGAGACGACTCGAACGAGGTTTTACTGTTATTAGGGCATTGTTCTAAAAATCGGCCACAGCGCCTAGGCAGTGCTTGGGCGTTCCGATTTGCACAAACCGGCAGAAAAATCAGCCAAGCGACGGTACCTAGACGACACATGTAGAAGCATAAACGAGTCTAGTCAATCTCGACTAATACTCGAACTCGAGTTCGAGTTCGAGCTTGAAGCTGTATGAAGCTGACTTGTTAGCTAAACGAGTTCGAAATAAAACTTGAGTTCGATTTGTTTGGTATTCAAGTTAAATTGAGCCAAACTACTCGCTTGAACAATTTAAACTAGACAATAATTCGAAAAATACTTGTATTCAACAAATTATATATATAGATATTTTGTTGTTGATGTTAGACATGGTCACAACCCAACTCAGTCCGGCCTGTCAATTTGACCTGAATCGCCCTAGATCCAACCCTAAGGCCTAAATCGACACGTGGTGAACGGGCTCGAACTCAAGCCCGTAGTTTGACCGGGCCAGTTCCGGACATCCTGTATAAATTTTTTGTCCTGATGGACCCTGTCGGTCCGGGCCAGGCTAGGCCCAGAACCGGCTCTGGGTTTTCCCCCCTGCGAATCGGTCGGTCCGGAACCACCACTAGTTCACGACCCGGCCCGGAATCACCGGGCATGTGAACCAACCACCTGTACCTACATCCGAGCCAGTTTCGAGTACGTCTTTCCATGTCCGGCGACTCATCGGGCTGGGCCGGCTCGCCTAATGGCCATGTCTAGCTGATGTCCTTCCAAATCTCAGTTTCCCCAACTGTTATTAGTACCATATGCTTCTAAATTCGATTTCCTTTCGAGTTAAAAACATGACTTTGACTAAATAGCACCAAGTTCTAAAATTTATAAACTGACCAAGTTGTATAGGCCAAAAAAAAAAAAAAAAGAAACAATAGAAAGTCTCGAGTAAAACCGTGGAGAGAGACTGGGAGAGAGAGAGAGAGAGAGAGAGAGAGAGAGAGAGAGAGAGAAGGGTTTCCAAAAAATTCAGATAAATCCCATTCCAGCTGCCGTTTTTTCATCAATCGTGCTTACTGCTTAGCAAGTCCAAATTTTCATATAGCTGCAACTGTGTGATCGAATACACTCAGTTCGTGTGGCTCAGTCTGTGAGAGTGCACGCGCTTATTATCTCTCTGCATATCAGTTTCTTTATATTTACAGAGGAATCTTGAGGAGGAGGAGGAGTGAGCGACGAAGGATAAGGCGCAGCGCCTTGGTTTTGCGAGATTTTGATCTGGTAGGATGAGTACAAGCAGGGGAAGCGGCGCCGGCAATGGTGGCGCGGTACAACCCATCCCAGCGGGGTCGCGGAAGGTTGTTCAGAGCTTGAAGGAGATAGTTAACTGCCCCGAGGCGGAGATTTATGCGGCTCTCAAGGAATGTAACATGGACCCAAATGAGGCTGTCAATCGTCTGCTCTCTCAAGGTTTTCCAACGGCGAACTTTAAAGCTTTAATTTTTATTAGTTTCTTTGTTTTTATCACTTGCTCATTTGTTGGGTGCATCTATAGTTATGTGCAAATGTTGATTTTGGAAGAAAAAAGAGTTGCCTTTTGCATTTTAGACACAGAGGTCTAATACAAATGGTTCCTTCTTATTTGCATTGTGTCGTTTTATATTACAAGAACGATAGAAAAGGAAAGAACTTTTGAGAATTATTTTTTTTATCAAGCTTTAGATGATTTTTGTAGTGGAATTTGTGTTTGTTCTCTACTGTTATTCGATTTGGATTGTCCTCCATCGAGTTGCTTTTGACTAAATTTTATATCTTATAAACTTGTTAACGTAATTTCAGGCGATCGCTATGAGTGTTTGGCTATATTGGCTGTGTTTGGATTCAGTCTGTGTTAATCTAATTTTGTGGGCTAGTACTATGCTTCATCTGAGTCACTTTCTTGTATGTCTTGCATATTGATGGCCTATGTTTTGTTATTTATTAGATGTTGTCTAATGTATGACATGTTCCCCTTTCGTTGGCTGATAGTGTAGCTGAATAATTTCCCCGGAACTACTATGAACTAAAATGGATACTTTTGGTATTTTATGGTAGCTGATTGCAGACTCTTTGAGCTGTTAGTTAAGTGGCTTTGTTACACGCTCCCATATATCTTTGTATCACTGAATATGTTTTAGGGAAAATAACTGCATGACACTGCTAGTTGGATGCTTAATCTGTATTCATTTTCTGTTTTTGGTTAGTTTAGCCCATCTCTGATTGTATTTTATATTTGTGTAGATCCTTTCCATGAGGTGAAGAGCAAACGCGAAAAGAAAAAAGAGGTCTGTTCTTGTCATGAATAAATAATTCTACCATCTCCCTTTGCCTTGGGGCTGTTTCACGATGCACTCTACAGCTTGGTCTCCCTTGAGCTTTGACCGCAATCTTCTTTCTTACAAAATACAAGGAAAAATTTTATCAGGAAAATTTATTTTTCATTTTTCATCATTTTCTTCTTTTCATTTTTCTTTTTCATCAATAATATGAATCCAGCACAACATATTATGTAGGAGTTTGTTAGATAATGGTCTTGCTTTTGTGGCTCATTTGTTTTTCTTATTTGCTACTCTTTCCAACTACAGAATGCTTTAGTTACTTATGAGGACATAGACCAACTATTGTTGATTCCTTTTATTAAATCCGTTTTGAGATTCAAATGCTGTAGCTTTGTAAATATTGTGGCATTGCATAATTAAACGGAGCAATTTTTTACTTCCCCGCGTTACTCAATGTGATTTTTACTTCTATTGTCAGGGTAAAGATCAGACAGAGTCCAGGTCTCGTGGTGCTAATAGTAGTTCCAATCGAGGTAGTAAGACTGGTGCAGATCGTCAATATGGGCGCGGTTCTTCAGCACAGTATTATACTTCTGGTGTGTTTGGTACTTAGCTTTTGTACTTGTAAGAATAGTTCAATTATAAATAGTAATTCAATCACGAGGGAACATATTTGACCAAATTGTTCTATTAGCAGACTCTTCATTGTTTGGGAAGACGACATACAAGAAAGAAAATGGATCTGGTCCTTATTCGAGTTCGTTATCTTCAGTACATGGTGGGTCAGGGAATAGTAAAAGCAGAGGACCTCCAGGCCACAGGTTTGTTTTATATGTGCTTGTTATAGTTGAGCGGATGCTAGAAGTCTGTACTTTACTGGTACAATGCATCCTCAAATTATTTAGTCGGGAAAGCAAGGGCCAATAAGTAACAGTGGTCATTGGTTTCAAAAAGTGATTCAGAATAATTGTAATGCTTGTTCTGTTTGGCACAACTCTACAACAGTCCATTCTCTAAAGTCAAACCTTTTCAATAAGTGAATTCTCATGTGTCCAATTTTCGGCGAAGTTACTTATCCAAAGTCAAATTCTCAACCAAACATCTATAATCATGGAATGGACTTTTAGATCCAAATGTCCCTTTCAAAAGTGCTTTCAAACATGCACGTACATCCATCATGTGTTATTGAGATATAGCTTTTATCATGCATCATTTGTTTCCACTTAATATGGTTAACACGGTCCACTCGCTCTCGGATTTCCATAGTTCCTACGTTCATTTAGATGCTAGGTTTGCGTCTTTCCAGTAAATGGCTTCTTGCTCGGCATAAAGTTCTCTATCCGTTGTTGAAAGTGTGCCATCATGTAGGTTATGTTGATCCATATTGAAACCTGAATTTTGATACTCACATGCCCAATCTTCTAGAGTGAGCATGTAGTTATGAATTTAATGCTACCTGGCTATTTTATTTTCTTGATGATACTTTTTTCTCGAATTTAATGTAGTGATGATGCCTATGCTGAAAGCAAAGGATCCTTTCAGGGGACAGCTGATGTATGGCCGCCTGTTTCACAGCCAGCCTGGGTGGGTACTCCTGGTCAGGTGTCTATGGCCGACATTGTGAGGATGGGCAGACCAAACAAAAAAGGATCAAATGCTCCAACTGAATTGCATCACAATATTCAGGATCCTTTTGTAAATGAATCACTTCATAAGGATCATGCTTCCAAAGTAAATCAAGCCGAAGTTCCATCGGTTCAGCATGTTGCCACCAGTGATGATTGGTCTTCCATCGAGAAGCCAGCTGCTCCAAGTGTGATACCATTTTCAGAACATCCTGTTGACACTGAGTTGCATCCTGAAGCATCCATAGTATCATATGACAATGCTAACTATGAAGCTGAGGAGGTTCAAGAAGAGGAAGATGATGATAACTTTGAGAGTTCTGGAGGAAATGATGATGGTTCTGTTTCTATATCCCGTAGAAGAATGATTCCAGAAGATGTTTCAAGAGGTGCATCACAGTTCGATAATGAGTTGTATAAAAACATGGGAACATACGAATCTGAGGCTCATGATTTCGAACGTCATGAAGGTTTCTTTCCTTCTTTAGAATGAAAAAAGTTTCTTCTATAACATGCACTCCATCATGTCTAACATCTCTAAATTTGGAAAGTTTATGTTAGTGTTTATATGATATGGGCAACTGCTAGGTATATGAAACTGAGAAGTATGAAAAAGTGTTTGGAGCTAGGATATTGGCCCCAAAGGCTACATGTTTCTCAGGATATAATTTCTGTTGCAGCATTCTAGAATGGATGGTCTATTCTAAAATAAATAATGCTCTAGAAATATATGAATGAAACTTGAATCTTATTTACCCTGTTGGTGTTGCAGTTGACGAAGTTGGTTCTTCAGTTATATCCGTCACCCGAAACTTGCGACAATTAAGTGTGAACAAGGATGATGGAGGGTTTCCTTCTGAGGCGAATGCACCTTCTGTTGTAATTCCAGAGCACTTGCAAGTTCATACTGCTGACTGCTCCCAGTTGACCTTTGGTAGTTTTGGATCTGCTATGAATGATGCATATTCTTCTGGGACTACAACTTCTTTTCTTGAGAAACCTAATCTGGAAGAGGCACAAAAGGAGACTGAAGAATCAACCCGGGGGCAGCCTGAAACAAGGTATATAAATTAGTAATATTTCAAATCTTGATTTTATTTTATTTTATTTTATTTTATTTGTCTCTCTGAATATTGTAGTCTATCAATTCTTGATTTGACGTTTGCTGCAGACATTCCGAGTATTATGTTGACGACTCTCTAAGAAGTACTCCAGATGATAGTTTGTTGCATAGAAATAGTGCTACTGTTGGGAACTACGATGCATCTTCTGCTCCACAGCCGGAAGAGTTGAGACCTGAGAGTGCTGATGTGGCGCATGGAAATCAGTACCCTTTTCCTTCTTCGGACTCGGGTTATTCCTTTGACGATGCACAACGTTTAAATGCTGCTTTCAATCAGACAAGTTCCCAGATGCAAAGTCCAGCTCCCTTTTCAAATGTTATGGTAAAATATTTTCTGATCTTGGTTTAGTTTTTAGATGATCAACTTTATACATAAGGCTGCCTTTGGGAGGAGGAGCAGTTTTAAGTATTTCTTACAGTTACATAAGTATTATGTGTTCTTTTGAGATGGAAATTTCTGAAACTTTTGCAATCTTGTTAGTGTACTGATATTCTGTATCTGTAGCTTATCTTTCGTCTTTATTTCTTTCTTTTAATTTTTTGACAATAGCTTTCACCGTATTCCTGTGGATTATGTTGTGTAAGTTTGTTTTTCTCCTTCCCTTTCTTCTTCTTCTTCTTCTTATTTTGGCGGAACCTGTGATTTCTGCCTTTGTTTAAGTACACCTAAAGTTCTGTTGTTGATGATCTCACCTTGATTTGTATTGTTTTTGTTTTATTTGTCTGTTCTGTGTTTCTCACTTTCTTATAATCCTTTAGCCGCATGCATATTCTAATTCACTACCAAGCACTTTGTTGGCCGCAAATGTCCAGCCGATCAGAGAATCAGATCTTCAGTACCCATTTTCTTTGACTCAATCTTTGACCGCTAAGTATGTGAATTCTGTCTCCTCCATTGGTGCTTCAGCAACCTCTATATCCGAGGTACTCATGTAGACTTTTTCGGTAACAATTTTTTGGAAAAATAAATAAATAAATAAATGCTGTAGTATAGTCTGGTATAATCTGCTTTCCACCTAATTCATTCCTTTCTGCTTCTTTTAGAACGTTATTATTCTTTCCTTTTCTTTTAAGAAAACGAGACTTAATTCTACACAAAAAACATCCTTTTAGTCCACCGGAAATGTCATCTGGGGCGCAAGCCAGTTCCAATAACCCCCACAATTGGATCTAACCGAATTTCAGGATCTTAATCAACAATTTAAAAAAAAAAAAAGCTGTTTCGTGACTAGATTTTTTATGATCGACGAATTTCCGATGCTTTAGGATTTGAAGACCGCTGGGTTACATTCTACTCAGCCCAACATTGCCACCGGGCCTCCGCTCCCACAACACCTTGCCGCTGTCCATCCCTATTCCCAGCCCACTCTTCCTATTGGGCCATTTGCCAATATGATTGGCTACCCTTTCTTGCCCCAAAGTTACACGTACGTGCCTTCGGCTTTTCAGCAGTCGTTTCCCGGCAGCAGTAATTACCATCAGTCCTTGGCGGCAGTTCTTCCTCAGTATAAAAGTAGTGTTTCGGCTAGTAACTTGCCTGCTTCTGGATACGGTGGTTTCGGCAATAACTCGACCATTCCTGGGAATTACTCGTCTGGAACAAGTTTGAGTTATGATGAAGTCTTGAGTTCTCAGTATAAAGATAATAGTAGTCACTTGCTCTCCCTTCAGCAGGTACTATACTATGCTTCTTTTGTTCTGTGCTTCGCTTTGGAATATAGACGAATATTTTTTCCCTCCTTTTTCACTTTTGATTGTGTCTGTGCCTCGAAAACTGTATTAGTGTAACCAGATTGATAAAATCTGCCTTTACTTAAGAGGGGGTGATTGGATATATAATATTTTAGTTTTGATTGGATTTATTGGATAAAATGAGTTAATTTTTAATAAACACGATTGGGTGGAGAATTTGAGTGGGATTTTGAGTTTGTATTTAAATAATATTTATAATGTAAATGATTCGAGTTGATGTGATGTAAAAGTAGGATAGTGGTTATTGGACGTGATGATCAGTAGTTAAAAATGTGAGTGGATGAATAGTGAATTAGTTTATGATGTGATGATGATTTATTGATATTATTTAATTATATTGATAAGATTGAGGAGAGTTAAGTTGGATAAAGTTGAGCTGGAATTATGAGTTAAAGAGTTTTAAGAAATTATCCCATCAGTCAAAAAACCGGATAAATTCTATATCCAATCGCCCCTTTACAATCTTAAGACAAATAAAGTCGAGTACTTGCCAAAATTAGGAGTGCGGTTTGATTTTTGTTGGTACTTCAAATGTTTCATGTTTATATTATTAGGCAAATACCTTTTTAAAGGGTATTTGTAATTTTAAGAGAACCTTCATTTTTTTCTTCCTTTTCAATGAAAAGAGAAAAATAAAGAAATGACCGTTGGATTAAATATCTCTATCTTTGCATCTTAGAAAGAAAACTCGGCAATGTGGCTTCATGGAAATTCAAGAACAGTGCCAGCTGTCCCGGGCAGCACGTACTACAATTACCAGACACAAAATCAGCAGCTTGGCGGGTTCAGGCAAGTCCAGCAGCAGTCACAGAGTTACGGTCCCTCAGGTTACCCGAACTTTTACCAAACTCAGGCTGGGATTTCTTTGGACCAGCAGCAGCAAAACCCTCGGGATTTGTCACTTGGAGGCTCCCAAGAACACCCCAAACAGTCCCAGATTTGGCCGAACAACTACTGATCCACCTTCTGGTTTTTCAGGGCAGCCCGTAAATGAAAGGAAAAGCGACCTTTTGAGCCAATATACGAGGAGATACATAATGTGATTTGAATTTACGCGTGGGAGAAGTGGGTGATTGGGTCACTGCCCTGAGCCTTGTTAGGTCGTGCTAATTTTATGATAGTCGAGACATGCTTGCTCTCTCTTTTTTTTTTTTTTTTTTTTGTTGTTGTTGGTTCGTTTCCACTTGGGAGTTTCAGAGTTTAGATCTGTTTCCTCTAGTGAAAGCTTGCATGCATATGCGTTGCGGTAGCTTGAGAGAGGTCGATCGTCTAACCCTGTTTTTTCGTCTTGCTTTTTCTTGTTTTTTTTTTTTTTTACTCAACCACTGTATCATTATACTCTGTACGATTTGTGCTGTTCAGCATTTTCGTTCCCCATTGACGGGCGCAACTTTGCCAGTTTTTACTCTCATCAATGATGAATATCTTATGGTGTTTATTTTTAATCATCAATAGTAACAATACGGTTTTGCTATGAAACTAACAATTGGGTCCATAGTAGAGCCAATTTTTTATATACAACAAATAAACCTACCATATTGATAAATTTATATTAATGTTATTTAAGTAATTATAGAATATGGTAGGTTTACTTGTTGTATATAGAAGGTTGGCTCCACTATGGAGCCAATTGTTGGCTTCATAGCAAAACTGAATAACACAATCGGTTTTGCTATGAAGCCAACAATTGACTCCATAGTAACAAATGGCATGAATAATTTTATAATTATAAAAAAAATTCAAATATAAATATAAATAGAAATTATTTATTAATTTTAAATGGTTTGCGGGTAAACGGATTGGCTTGAGGGTTCTCGCTCTAAACTTAAACCTGACCCGACCCAAAATGGGATTCGGGTAGTAAATCTATACCTGACCGTAAACCCACGCAATCTGGTTATACTCGACCCGAAATGCAGGTAACCCGTAGGTAACCCAATCCTATGAGTTATATCGACATCCCTACTTGTTTCGTGTATGCAAGTTGTTGTTAGGATATTAAATACCAGACCTGTAGAAAACTTACGTAGCCTGACCGGTGATGAAGGGAGCTGCCCAAGTGTGAACAATAAGGGAAGGTACGGGGTGGAGATTTAGTTGATGTTGAAGGATTTGAGCGATACTTATCTTTAGTTTTCGCCGGTTGAGGGTTTCGTTTACCAGGTTCGTCATAAGTCTTGGACGAAACACTTTCTTTGATGTGCAAGTCCAGGTCCCAGTTGACTCAACAACCTTATCGACGAGCTACCCTTTCCCCAAACTCTAACTTCGAAGAAAAGTAGATAGCTAAGCGACTACCTCAGTGGAAGGTGGGAGAGCAACTTAGATAATAAATTTCCTAAAAAAAGTATGATTATCTAACCGTCACACAATATGACAGTTAATATAAAGGAACAATGTAAGCCAACTATAAAAAAAGTATGATTATCTAACCGTCACACAATATGACAGTTAATATAAAGGAACAATGTAAGCCAACTATATATTTAAACATTTATGGCACTATGGAAATTTCTTTATTACACTGAAATTTTTTAACAGTCACAAATTGCGCTTCAACAAGTAAACATGAACGTTCACTCAAATGCGGAAGCAATTCAAATCAAAATTGAACCTTCAGGTGAGCATCTTGTTCTTCCTTCGGACTCTTCATTGTAGCACGTGATTGACCCATTACAACTAGGAATTATGCAAAAAACTTCCACTTTCTAACCTACACTGTAATCATTTCACTCAACTACTTTTTCGAGCCACTCCTCGTGGACTTCTACAACACGAATCCCTCACACTGTGTAATGGTATTCATCCCAAACACCACAAATGATCAAATAAAAAACCTATGATCGACTACCCAATAAAACTAAAATAATGTCAACACGAATCACTCACACTCTAATTCGACTACCCAATAAAACTAAAAATAATGTCAACTCTGATCAATCACTCATCACTCAACTTGCACAACACACTTAATGAATATAATCTCAAGAAATAAGTAAAAAGATGGTATGTGCAATCATTCATATATGCTGCTCCATAAGGTAAGTTCCTCCAGCCTGCTGCTTTCCTTATTTGACTTTAATCATTCCATTTGCTCCGCTATCTTCACATATTGTAAGTTGTTTTTCGCCCCGCCTGCAAGCTTCAACTCGTTTGGAAAGTTAGTGTGCGCGTCCTTCCCATTAAAATAGGTAAGTGTCGTCATTCTCCAATATAGGGAGTGCACAACGTCTTTCACGTGTCAATGTTGAAAAATTACGTGCATCATCCAGGGCACGTGTTGAATCTCAACGAGCTCGAGGTCGGGCAGAGCCTGTTTTACGAGGAGCACCAGCACCCGATAGCAATTTTGGACCGAAAGGTCCAACGCCTGAGACACAGAGATGTATCAATAGTTCGAATTCGCTAGAGCCACGACGAGGCCGAGACCACTTAGGAGCGAGAGGATGAGATCCGAGCTCGTTACCCAGACTTTCAGTTCTGACTAGTACTATGTATTTTTCAATTCGTAGTTTCTAGTCGAGTCGGACTTATGTTTAGTTTTGGCATTTCCGAGGACAGAAATATTTTAAGTAGGATAGAGTGTAGTGCCCAGAATAATATTTACTATTTATGGAACTCGACTATATTTTCATGAATATTAAATTTTCTAATTTGATGCATTTATTATTACTATTTGCATTATATTAACTAATTAGTATTAAAGTCTAAACTATGGACGATTTTAATTATTAAAGTCGGATTTATTTAGCCAAGTATCGATTATATTTTTAAAACCGAGCCTTGGAATGATCTAAAATTTTATTAAAGCGGACCAAAGCTCGAATAATTAATTTATTTGAGCCTAATCATTTTCGAACGAGTCCAATTATTTTATTCCAGCCCATTTAAGTTAATCGAGCCTATGTTCGATTTTATTTTAGTCCATTTTAAAAATCGAGCCTATAGTCGATTTTTAAATCATAATCCATGATTTTTATTTAATTCGACCAACTAATTTATTTTGCCCGAGTTTAATTAAATTCATTAACCGAAAAATTAATTCCTTAGACAATGTTCGATTTAATTGAACCCACTTCGTATTAAATTTGGAAGCCCAATTTTATTAATTGTCAAGCCAATTATTTGAGGCACAACACACGCTGCAAACCCTATTTCTCTTCCATGTATATATAGCCTTTATCTTTAGCACTACACCATCAATTTACTATTCATCATCACCTCACTTCAAGATCTAGAAGCTCTCCACAATATCTTCACCCCATAGCTCAAAATCCGGCGAGTTCTCCTGTGAACCGCCGCTGTCTGGAGAAACCCGCGAGCAGCGACCAAGGCCCACCGAGCTCGAGCCTCGCAGAGCCATCCGGGCTCCTCCCCAGCGCGCACCACAGCCTAGCTCGCGACCGAACCAGGCCCGTCCCAGCTCACCCGCGCAGGAGCCCGTACACCTCGTTCCCAGCTCCGTACGCACGCCACGGGCCCCAGCTCGTGCGTCCCTGCTCAGCCGTCCGTACACAGCGACGAGGCCGCCTGTCCACAGCTCATCCAGCGCCTGTTCAACTCGGTTCCATGCGCGCCTAGCCCAGCGACCATACGCGTCCGTACACCGTGCCAGCAGCTCCCTCCACGCGCGCGATCCGAGCCAGCTGCCTCCAACTCGCCGGGATCTCCGACTGAGCGACACAAACAGCCCCAAACCCGACCCGGTTCGATACAAACAGCTCCAAACTCGACCCGGTTCAAGCTCCACTCCCTTTTTCCTAGTTCGATTTAATCCCTATTTATCCGATTCGAGCAGGTTTAAGGTATTTTAGCTTGAACTCGACTCTAATGACTTAAATATAATTATTGAGATATTATAAAGTGATGAATTGGTGATTTGAATGATTTTGGATTTATTTGGGATTTTTGAGTTATTAGTCGATTTTTCGAGCTTTTGATATAAATTTGATAAAATGACGAAATAAATTTTATAAAATATGCTGTATTGTCTGAGGCTTAAGATGCGGGTCCGAAAAATTTTAGAGACGAACAAGATTTTTGAATATGTTGAACAGTTGAAGCGACTATGAGTTGAATGGGTAAGAAGTTGACTTTGAATTTGATATTTTGACCATAGGCTATGTGTATGTGTATGCCGAGGATGTTATGTTTCGATTTTCGTGATTTATGGATGCCGTTTGACTAATTAAAAATCGGGACTTTAACCGATAAAATGTGAAATATAGAATATTAGTTCGTTTGCGATGTTAGCAGCAGTTGTTGATTATAAATTCCATATAAATCACATAGAAATTAGTGATTTGAATATTGGAAATGAGTTAGATTTTCGAGAATCGACAACCCTAATTTTATTCGACTCCAATAACCGGGTAAATTGTAGATCCGGATTTAATCGATCAAACTCTAGTATCGTTAAATAACTTTAGACGTCGTATCATTAATTCTTAACGCTTATCGTTGTCCCACACAAGTGTTCGACTCTCGTCCGACCGTTGGGGCCGAACCATCGAGTGCGTGCCTGTGCATCGAGTCCTAGTCCAACCATCGAGTGCGTGCTCGTGCACCGAGTCCATTCGATCAACCGTCTACGCACCGTTTCAAGTCGTGGTCCAAGCACGCTCTTATGTCAGTGATCGTGGCACTGTTTCAAACCCGTGCATCGGCTAAGCCAGGTCAGTCGAATTCGTGTTGACTCGAGTTGCCACGCCGAACCCGGACCACGGTCAAATCGAGCTGCACATAGTCAAGCGAATGATCGATCGACTCTGACTGGCCGTCGGTCTAGTCCGGGCAGTCCGGACGGTTTGAAGAGAATTTCAGTTCAGTCGAATCAGTCGAATCAGCCGGGCAGTCTGGACGGTTCGAGAAATTTCAGATTTATATTTCAGATAGAATTGCATATATATTTTAGATAGATTTAATATCCAGATATGTTTCATATAAACTTCAGTCAGA